GGAAGGGAAGGGAAGGGAAAGGCAGGCCAGGGCAGTGCAGGGCAGGGAGAAAGAGAAAGAAAGAAAGAAAGAAAGAAAGAAAGAAAGAAAGAAAGAAAGAAAGAAAGAAAGAAAAGAAAAGAAAGAAAGAAAGAAAGAAAAAGAAAGAGTTTGAAGACACAGATAAAGAATTTATTGTAGCATTGTTGAGTGGCAAAAATTGAAAACCATGAATTTTTTTGGATATAAAAATGAATTATTGTGCATCTATACAATAGTAGTAATAATAATATATATAGTCATTGAAAATGATGAGTTAAACCTATACCATTTAATTCAAAGCATTGAAACAAAGTGTAGAGTGAGAAAAACAAAATGTAGACAACAAAGTCGTATTTGCATTTACAGACACGGATACTGTGTGTGTATGTAGGCTGTCCCGCTAGAGAAAGCCTGGATAAATGAGCAAGGATTTATACTACTTTGTCAACAGGATTTACTTGAGATAGGTGAGCCTGCATTATGTGTCAAGGAGAGAATTCGGGGAAAGGGAGCCTAGGAACAAACGGATAAGGAAAAGAATATCAGCTCTGGGAGGAAAACAGCATTTACAGGATAATACCCATGCACTTGTGCAAAGTTATCCCTAGGTGGGAAAGAAGGGCACCATTATCAGAAGGAGAGATGCTAGAGGAGACCCCCTGCTCATAGCCTTCGTGTGAATCAGACACCTCTACTACTCTAGGGCTGGGGCTTTCGAAGTGTGGACTCGTCCTGTGTATGCCTTGTCCTAAGGCCCAAGTACCCGTGGGGTGTCACAAACCGTAAGCCGGAAAGGCCCAAGCCGGCTTCACCAAAGCATCAGGGCAGAGAGTGGGGCCTGGAAAGTCTGGGTGAGGGTTACAGGCGTCAGTCACTCTGCTTGTGCTGGGCAGTCTTTGTGGCACTTCAGGCCGAGTGATACATTTGATTTCTAAAACCACTGCCTGGTGTATTCTTCACCCCCAAAGCTGTCTTTGCAGTCCCAGCTCATCCTTCGGCTTCTCCACGGATAGCTGACTACATGAAAGCAGGGAACAGCTAGAGGGAATGCCCCAGCTTGACTGCCCTCACCATCTAAGTGCAGTGCGGAGGCTTCCTGCTTCCTTCACCCAGGTACTTTTCTCGCCTAATGCCTGTTGCTTACCTTGAACCCTCTCCCTGCTACCTGTCTCTCCCCAACCCAGGGAGCTCCTGGAAGTAGCCAGAAGTCAGAGGTGGAGGCTGCCCTTGCTCGGAAGAGGTACGCCATGATGAGGCCGCCTATCTCAATCTGGGGCGCAGTGCTCTTCTCTCCCCGCACGCTGAGCTTTCTCTGCAGCGCTCAGAGACTTTAGCGAGGCCTGGGAGGCCTGAGCCCTGCGAGGTGTGGCTCCTACAAACGCTGAAACCTGTCTCCAACAAAACCAGACCGAACCAGCAGATTCTCAGCCCGGTGAGGGGATCCGATTTCACTCTGACCTGAAGTCGGGAGAGTAAATTTAAAGCGCTTCGTTAGGGTTGTTAGAGATGCGCAGCGCGCCTGCCAGGCTCGTGCGTAAACCGCGCTCTCTGGAGGGTGCGGGCGCGAGCCAACCCCAGCTGACGCGCGGGTGGGCGCTGCCAGTCCCCGCCGGCGCCGCAGCTTCCGAGTCGCCCCGCGCAGGGAGCGGGCAGTACCGAGAGGTGGCAGGGCCTTCGGAAGGCTCCGACGGCTCGATTCCCACGGTTCGGTTCCCGAGTGGCGCCGCTAACCGCGGAACACGCTCCCGAGCTCAGCCCATCTCAGCTTCTCCAAAGCCAGTCGCGTTCACCCGCGCGTCTTCCCTACTTCCCCCAGTGCCCGGCCCCAGCTGGGCCTGCTGAAATTTCTTTCAACTGGGAGACGAAGCCTCAAAGCCCGTGAGGGCTGGGAGGTGCAGGAGTGGGGCGAGAAGGCAGGCCGACCTGCGCTCCAGTCCCTCTGCAAGCCCGGAGGGCGGAGAGCGAGGCGTCCCGCTGGGCTCCGCCGCCGTGGCCCGCGGGCCCGGGAGGCGCCGAGCAGGAGGCTGCCGGGGCCGCTCGCAGCGAGCGCGGGTCCGCAGTGTTGGCTGGCTCAGAGCCCAGAACCGCGCGTCCGGGTGACAGGCGGGCTGGTGCGTGGCTCCTTCGCTCACCGAGCTTCTCGGGGAGCCCAGCCAGGCCCCCAGTGCCTGCAGCCGGGCTCCTGGGGGGCTCAGGGGGACGCTCAGCTGAGAGCCAGGCCACAGGTTGGCTGGGGTCCCGAAGACGGCCTCGGGAAAGTTGCTTTGCGGACCCTGGAAGCCGGCCCTCGCCGCGCCTGGCTCCTCACAGCAGCCAGAGCGAACCGGCGTCTTACTCCCGCTGGAGCGCGGCCGGGAGCACGGCGCTGGCACCTCGCCCTCGCTCTTGCCCCACTCCCACCGTCACTGGCAGGCGCTTCTGCAGAGCAGTCGCAGGGCTCCGGGCTGCCCCCTTGGAAGTTAAGCGTTCTCCACGCCAGCTGTTTCCCAAATTCTCACCACCACCCTCAGCATCCCTGGTGCAACTGTGGTTTCAGCGGCGGACCCCTTCTGACTCAGTTACTCCCAGGCCACCTACTGCCCCCTCGCGGAGCGCTGGGGCGTCCGTTTTGCAGACGCCCACAGCTGGTAGCAAGCCGCAAAAGGCATGGTGGCTGCGGCGGTGAAGTGAGACAGCTGCCAACAGCTGGCGCAGCTGCTGCGCAAGGAGACTGGCGGGTACGCAGCCCAGGTACTGCCCCTTCCCAGTGACGTCTCTGCAGCGGGTTATAAAAGCCTCGCGCGCACCCTGCAGAGGTAGTGCTAACTCCCGAGCTGAGCAGGACCCAAGCCAAGAGGCGCCTGCCACGCTGCAGGCAGCGCGGCGGCAGCGGTATCTGCGAAAGCGAAAAGACAAATCTGCAGCTGAGCACGAGAATCCCCTGAATCCCGGCCATCGAATCAGAACTTTCAAAGGTAGCGCTGCGACGGGCCCTCCTTGTCCGCCTAAGTCCTCGTGCACCACAGGGCTTTGCCTTTCCCGCCGCAGGAAGGGGAACTAGCAGTCGCAAACTGGAGCCGGTGCAGAAAGGCGGGTTCTCTTACTTCCTAGCGCAGGGAACCGGCGGGACTACTTAGCGCCTTTCAGTTTAACGCAGACTACACGCGCCTCCGGATTCTGAACTCAAATGCTTCCAGAAACTGAAACGTGGAGGAAATCAAAGCCACGAAGGTCGGGCAGACAGAGCATCTAGAAGTCTTTATTCTCTGAGCGCCAAGTCTGCTTGCAAGGAGAGTTCTGCGCAGGAAGAGACTTCTTCCCTCCTGTCTGGCTTAACCAGGATCCCGAGCCTCAGGTGCCCGCCACAGGACCTGGCTGCAAAGCGGGTGGTGTGCGCAGAAGGGAGGGCTTTGCCACGCACCTGCGAAATGGACAGCGCCCTCCCCGTGGAGTCGGACCTCTTCCCGAATATCTCCACCAACACCTCAGAACCCAACCAGTTCGTGCAGCCAACCTGGCAAATTGTCCTTTGGGCAGCTGCCTACACGGTCATCGTGGTGACCTCTGTGGTGGGAAACGTGGTGGTGATGTGGATCATCCTGGCCCACAAGAGAATGAGGACAGTGACCAACTACTTTCTGGTGAACCTGGCCTTCGCGGAGGCCTCCATGGCTGCGTTCAATACAGTAGTGAACTTCACCTACGCTGTCCACAACGAGTGGTACTATGGCCTGTTCTACTGCAAGTTCCACAACTTCTTCCCCATCGCTGCCGTCTTTGCCAGTATCTACTCCATGACAGCTGTGGCCTTCGATAGGTGAGCTTGCCCTTTGTGGAAGTGAGAAGTGTCCAGAGAGGAGCATGGCATTGCTGTGGAGACAGGGCTGCATCATGCATGGTAGAAGGGGAAGACTGACCACACAACAGCCTGGGGTTCTCACTGGCTGCCAACTGGTCCCCAATTTGATCTCCCTTTCAGTCTCCTTTTTTCCATTTCCTTCATTTAACTTTCCATTCTTTATTCACCCATTCATCTCCCTGACCCTATCCTTTCAACTCCTGTTTTGCTCTTTTCCATATATTCCTACTCTCCTTTCCCTTACAGCGTAAAAGGAATCCTCAGGACTTAGCCAACGAGCTGGCCTCTGGCTTAGTCTTTGTAAACTCCTCCTGGCCTGCTATTCTGTTGGGTAGCTTCTTGTTGTTTTGTGTTTTAAGCATGCACAGGCAAAATTCATCATTTTTCATTTCTTCCTCAAGATTTCGGGACTTTGAGTTCTCCTTTCAACTCCCCAATATTATTTAAATGTGAAAAGCATTTTGCCAGTTCATAAAATAGTTCAGATTCTAATTCGCATCCTCTGTGTTGCAAGGAGTTCTTCTTAAAGAATACCATAGACAGGGACCCAGGAAACTTACCCAGGAAGTTTTCTAAGTTTCTCTTGCTGTGGAAGCTCAGTGCTTTTAGCATGTCTGTATCCACACAGAAATGTTCTTGGCAAAAACAACTGAGAGCTTTTGTTTCCTACAACCAACAAGTTAGAGGTTCAGAAGAGGACTGGATATGGAAGGTTAGTATTTTTAAACACAGGCTGGGGATCTGGAATGAGTGACCCTTCAGGTGGCACGATGAAAAATTGAATACTAGAGCACAGTTTTAATGGTATGACCTTTTGTGGATTTCATAGGTCTTCAGTGTGTATGTCTATGTGGATACAGGTGCTAAATGTTTACCTGGGGTGTGGAGGTATGTTTAAAACACCTGTCACTGTGATTTACAAGGGATTCTTCTAATGTTTTACTGAGATAAATACATGTGAGAAAGGAGCTATGAGAAAAGTAAAAAAAAAAAAATTCCCAGACTAATCCCTTCTGAGTAAAGATTGTTTTTGAGTTGCAGTTGATTTAAAGTCTTTTTCAGCATCTGAGGTCAACGAACACTTTTTAAATTGGGAAACCTCTATGTTCACCCTTTGAAGTGGTGTTGAAATGCTGACTGTGGACTCCTTGTTCATCTTCTTTCTGCAGCTCTTAGATGCTTGATATGTTTTCTATAAAACAAGTTGTGAATCAACTTATACTTTAAGTGTAGAAGGTAAACAAATTACTCAAAGTGGCAGTGAATCATTCTGTAAATTTATTTTTGTAAATGTGTTCAGATACTTAATTTTGTGAAAGTGAAGTAAACCTGTAAATCTTTCTGCATTCACTTGCTCCTTCACATCAGCTTCCATAAACTTAAAAAAGAAAAAACAATTCTCTGGCATAAGATACAACCAAATATCAGTGCAGGGAAATGTGATGCCATCTTAGCCCTACGAATGCATTCTTTATGATCCCTAAATTAGATGGTAAGTGGCTGTTTTTTTACTGTGTTGGGGCCTCACCTGAGCTCTGGGGAGATCTGCCAGTCAATGTGAGCTGGAACATTCAGCAGCTGATGGCAGCTGGTATAAGCACCTGCAGACGGCTCTGTCCCTTTGGCTTACTTTGGGAGCATGTTCCATAGCCCTGCTCTTTCCCTTGCAACTTAGATTAGGAGCTACGATCAGGGTTAGCATGCTCCTATTACATGGGTACAGAGCCAGATTTTCATGGTACAGTTGATTTTCTCAATGAAGATCAAGGGGTCTGTGATGATACAGCTTCAGGAAATGACAGCAACAAGAAACATTCCCATGTTTCTAGTGTGCAGATGTGGGCCAGAGAGATTAGTGGTGATACCCTAAATGTTAGAGTTCAAGTTAGAGTTAGAATTAAGCTTCAAATGTCTCTGTTCACCGCTCTAATCTCCTGCTTTTCCTTGCTTGGCCTCCTGAGCACACCATCCAGTCATGCCCTCAGGCTCCTCATGAGTGTGCCTCCTGCATGCATAGTCATCCGATCTCTCCCAAGAATGTTGTAGAAAAAAGGGGCTGTATGCTCTCTCCATATGAATTATCTTTCCTTTCTCCAACATAAAAATAAAGACAGATAGTAAAAGCTAAATTATCTCTTTGAATTTTTGATGAAAAATCTTTAAATCAAATCTTTAAAAATAATATGGCTTTCCTCATTGTAAAGTTAAACTTTATTCATTGCAGAAGATTTGGGAAATACGAAGAGCCTAGACACAAAATTGAAGTCAACTATTATTGCACTATCCAAAAATAACACCTGTTAACATTTGAATTTTTGTTTTATGAATATTACACTACATACCTGAGTTCAGATTTTATATAATTTACAGCTTATCTTTTCATTGATATTAGTGGAAAACACGATAAGTTTGCACATTATTAAAATGCCTTCAGAAACATAATTTAAATGATTCCATATTACTCCTCTATATTTATGTACTATTATTTATTTAACCACTCCCTTACTGTTGGGTATTTAGCGGATTCCTTAATTTTTTTTGCCATTATATTATGATGAGTCCTCCAATGGATGTTTCTATGTGTTAATTTTGTTTTGCTTTCTTGACTATATTTATTCCTTAAGATAGATTTCCAGAAGTAGAATTATGAAATCAAATATATTTTAAGAAAAGATTTCTCCTCATTTTACAGAATTATAAATTCTGAGCAGAGCAGGAAACACATGTACTGTGTCTTGTTCATTTTAATGTCCTTAGCACAAGCAGACTGCTTGACATATAACAGTCACTTTAGTGTTTATCACACAGGTGAATGAATGAGTAAATAACACATATTCCCAGAAGACCATTTGGAAAAATGCATAAAAACTAGACAGAAAATGTAAAAAGCACCTTAAAATCCAACTAATTGTGGCTAACCAGTTAAAATTCTGGAACACTGGTTTAAAGTCTATCTGTGTTGCTTAAATCACCTACAGTAATTCAAAACTTTAAAAATAAATTTTGCATCATAATAAAAACCTTCAATAGCTGATTGTAGATGGTTTTTTGGGTTTAATTGTGTTTGTTTGTTTATTTGTTTTTGAGGCTGCTGCTGTTGCTCTTGTTGTTCACTGGCATTATATCATGGGTAGTTTCCATGTCATAAAATATTTAAAACAGAACATTTAATCAGCACATTATATGATGCAGTTATGATCACTTACTTAACCATTCCTCTACTATTAGATATAAATTGTTTTAATTTTCATTATGACCAGTAACTTTCATCTTGGACATAAATTTTTGAGATGATCTCTTTTCCTTTCATTGGAATACATTCCTTGAAATAGAATTGTTAGGTCAAACTATGTTGCTACAATTTGCCAAGTTTCCTTCCAGAAGCAAAATAAATGAAGAGGAAGAAGAACTTCAATTGCAGAATGGAGTACTAATTTAAATGTCTTTTGTAGTTTTTTTTTTTCATAAATGGGAAAGGGGACAGGGAGGGAGGCTCTCCTTCACAAACAATACTTATATTTTGAAGTCAGCAGTTACTTAGAATTTTTTTAAAAAGTTTCAGAGACTCTAGTTAACTCCAACAAGCAGCAGGATTTTTTTCTTTGGAACCAGTATAATTTGTCACACTTAAAATTTGCAATTCTTTTCCACTGGCAGAACCAAAAGATATGTGTGATACTTAATGAGATGTAATGACCACAAGAGGTGATCCTTTGGCTGACAGGGGCTAAAAGTGGATAACTAGCTGTTGTAATGGGGACCAGAATCTAAAGAGGGAGCAGGTAGACCCAAAGCCCCACATGGGGTAGAGAGGCAATGGGGAACCTGACCTGGACCTCAAACACAACAACAAAAGTCTCACGGGAAAGCAGTGGCCTGGTGTCATAGCCACTTTACCTGGCAGAGGCAGGTATAACTTCAGTGAGATGAAAGGTGAAGGTTGCTCATTATTGAGATTGGTCCTAGATATATTGTGCTAGAGTGAAGGAAAACATCTAAATACGGATTGTGTCTAGGAAATATGAAGTACAGTCAGGACCAAAAATATCGTTGCCCAGACAGAAGTAGCAACTGAAGGCAGAAGAGGAAATGAGCTCACTGAGAGGGTAAAAGAACCTGAAACAAAGACATGCACATACAACAAGAACTCTGCCCACCTATCCCCGGTGTCCACACCACAGCTTTCCAAGTTTCTACTAGTCCTGCTGTCTAGCCTTGAACCTCACCTTGCTAGTTAGACCTGGGTACCATTATCTATCTCAGGGTAATCCTTGAGTCTTTCCCTAGCCCACCAAAAGGTAAGACTCAAATTCCAGGATCCTTTGCACTAATTTAGATGGACCCACAAATTTCTGTGATGTTGAGAATGGCCATTCACTATGAACTCATCCACCACAACTGGAACCTTAGATGTCAGTTTTTTGATTAAAACAGAAACTTGCGAGGGCTGGGGATTTAGCTCAGCGGCAAAAGCGCCTGCCTGGCAAGCGCAAGGTCGTGAGTTCGGTTCCCGGTACCAGAGAAAAAACAAAAAAACAAACAAAAAAAAAAAACCCAGAAACTTGCATTTGTTAAGAATTTGTTTTTTAATCTTTTTGAGACAGAGTCTTACTGTGCAGTTCAGGCTGGCCTTGAGCTCACTTTGTTTTTTTGTTTGTTTGTTTTTGTTTTTTTTCTGGTACCAGGAATCGAACTCACGACCTTGAGCTCGCCAGGCAGGCGCTGTGCTGCTGAGCTAAATCCCCAGCACCAAAACTTGCATGACAGATGGACATTTAGAGTTTAGAACCATGCTTGAGAAGTTCAGTGGCCACCACCTGCCTGGAGCTGCTCCACCAGACATTACTTATCTTTTCCCAATTACCAGGAGTCCTCTGTGTCTTCAATGGTCACAATTGTTAAAAAAAAAACTAAACAAAACAAAACCTAGCAGGAATACAAGTTACTTGGTGGGGGAG